AGTTTTAAGCTCCTACTCTTCACCTAATCTAGCAGGCCGCGGTGGAGGAGGTGGACACACAGGTGGTGCTGCTGTCTGCTGTGTAAGTATAGGCGGGGGTCGGGGCCCGGTCTCAAGTTATGCATGACAGTCATATATAATATACTATTATTCTGCTCAACCTGTACAAACTGGAACTAATCGAACCTCCTCTCAAGTAGTGAATAAAGTCTCTCTCTCCTAAGCTCGATCTAGAGCGTCCACTGAGTAGGTGTATCTCTAGGTGCATGCAGGGGTGGATTTCTGGCCCTCGAAAGGAGTGGCAGACTCGTTACCATGTCGCTGCAACCTCTTGGGTAAATTTGTCACCCAAGTTCAGTTTTTTCTATCGTGAGCACGAGGGATTTAGTGTTGACGTACGTATTGGATTGCCGGTGGTAATTAAGAGGTTTGACGCAGCAAAATTTGTTTTTCATTGTGTGAGCACCAATGCTACCCTTGCTAGCTGGGATAACGTTAATTGTTCAGTGGCAGAGATAGTCGGTCCAGTTGGTATATCAATTCTTGATAACTCGGAATTGTGAGGAATTAGGGTTGGACGAGCATCTTTGACTTCTGACACTGTGACAAGGAGCTGCTAGCTAGGGATTGATTAATGGACAGAATATCTTCGATGGTCGACCATCAATACATGCAATAGATATAACAATAAGTTCCATAATTTGTCCATCCAGATACATAATACAAGTTAATAACTTTACGTTCTGTTCAACAACTCCTAAAAAAATTGGGTAATGATTGATCATGCTCTAGTTTTAGAAGTAAACCAAGGAAAGATGGTCCAACAAAAAATCGAGGCTCTTTGTGGTTGAGCAAAAATGAGCCAATTATATTCCCATTTTTTTTTTATCAAACAACGAAAAGCTCCAACCCAAAAACACATCGATCCTTACTTACCTTTCATTTTCTAATTAATAATGTATTAAGTATGTGCATTTCATTTTCATTTCCATTTTTTTTTTATCAAATTAAAACTAGTTTAGGATTAAATTGGGCCATAATGGAACCTAACCCGATTTTTGATATATTACGAAACACACCATTAGCTATGGTTGTTCTGTAAATCCACAATATAATAACTAAGTAATTTTAGTTGTATTTGCTACAAAATCATTACTTGTATTACTAACTACTAAATTCATATTTATTTTAGGGTTACAAGAGCTAGGCGTCTTAAGAGAAAAGAGATGCGACCATATTTATGATCGCAATTCATGAGGAGCTATTTTGTATGTTATAATACTAAAATAGTTTAAAAATTGTGGTACTATAAGTTTATTCTCGTGAATATCATACTTATATCTCTCACATGCATCATTTAGTGCTGCCGTACATCCAATATGCGTGTAATCGAAGTTTTTGCCCTCCAAGAACTGAATAAGTTAGTTTTATAAATAATAATCTAACTAAAGGGATTTTAAAATTATTCTATTAGGTAGAGTAGCGAAGAAACGAAGCCCTTTGTCAGGTTCATAAGGAATGGTGAGCAATATTGTAGCTATTGAACCCCACTCAAGCTGAAACCTCTCGTAACTTCCAATTCAAACAAACCTTAGGGAAATATATACAATGATCCACACCATTACTACATTTAAACGGGAAATCAAAATGATGTTTACCTTTGGATTAGTACAATTCGAAAAGATTAGACTTATTTAAAGACAGACAGTACTGTGATTAATCAATTTTTTTTAGGAATTATGACGCATCGCTATTGCAATCAATATTTGCAGGTCAAGTACTTGTTTACGTACATTTCTTTTCCCAATAAACAATGAAATAAAATAAGTGTGTGCACATCGACCATAGATGTTCTCCTTTTTAATCATTAAAAATAGAGAAAATTGCTTCTAGATCCCAAAATCCAACTTTTAATGTGCTCCATCCCCCATATTTTTAAAAATGTGTTGTAGCCCCTTGTTTTTGAAAAATTTGTGTCCAGGCTCCTCCATCATGATTCCAGCTCATGCCAACAGATGATTAGACATACCAGCTCATGATTAGACATGCCAGCTGGCTTAAATCTTAATTTTATCATCCTCTTTCTCATGTCAGCGGATGTTAACTCTTAGGGCTAACATGTTAACTCTTACGGCTAACATGTTAACTCTTACAGATAACATGTTAACTGTTAAGCGTTAACATGTTAGCCCTAAGAGTTAACATGTTATCCCTAAGAGTTAACATGTTAATATAATAACCATGATTGCCGCCGGCCATGCGAAGTTCCTCGGTACGACGCCGACGACGGAGCGATGGAGGGGGTAGAGGGGGACCGGAGGAGGAGGAGGGAGGTGTAGGGGGATGTGCAGCGGGGAAGGAAGGTGGGGGAGGGGAGGGAGGCGGCAGCGCTTTGGGAAGGCGCTGGCGACGGAGGCGGAGGCGCTTGG